GAAAATCAAAAGAAATAACGTGAGTAGGAACAGAATTTAAACAAACTTAGAATATTCTAGGATCTTTTGGTAGTGTATAGATTTCATGTTTGAAGTTAGCACCTGCTTAAAGTTATAACTTTGAACACCTGAAGTTATAACTTCAAGCGATTAAAGTTAAAACCTACTAAAAATTATTAACTGCATGCAAGAAGATCCAATTTCAGGGGCTAAACACTCGAGGTTGAAACTTCAAGTAGATACCAACTTCATGCACGATATCTGCATGTTTATAAAATATACTATAATAATTCTTATAAATAAACCAGTACCAAATGTACTGTACGTATGTAACATAACCCACTCTTATTACTATTACTATTCTTGCATTTTTAATAATGAAGTGTGAAAACTGTCAAATCGATAAACTTTCAGAAGAATTTCCACAAGGTACAATTAGTTCCACATGTGAACATGTCACATCTTGGTGTTTAAAGGTACGTATAATATCTTTAATAATTTGTATAAACATGAATAAATATGTTGATTCTATAATAATTTGATTTTTTATTAGTGCCTTGTAAATTACCTGAGAGAAACACAGAATCATAGCCATCAATGTCCCATATGTAAAGTAGAATTAACAGAACAAGAGTTTAAAGAATATTGCTTGCTTTGGGACAATGCAAACTTTAAAATTGATTTTGAAAGTTTTTCACCAACACATACCGAATATCCTGAACAAAACAACGAAATGTTTTACGTTATCCGATTAAATGGAGAAAAGATTGAATTTAAACTTTCTGAAATCAATACAGTTAAAGAATTAAAGCATAGATTAATGAATTGTACCAAGATAGATATTGATAGACAGATGTTAATTTATAAAAACAATGAACTCGATGTGAGTAATTTATTTGTTTTTTAAAGTCTTTATAAATATTTTAACTTAATCATTTGATCCATTATTTGTCTATATAGGATGAAATTAATAATACTCTCACAAGTTACGGAATCTGCGCGAATAGCCATATTCAATTTATCGTCGTACTTTATTCTATCTCGAAAAAGTATGCTTTAAAAAATTTAGTATTCGATTTATATTGGGGTTATCCTCCATCAAGAACGGACTATCTCGACGGATCCTGTTTGATATATGAAGGTGATAATTTATGGAAAATATACGATTGTGGATATAAAAATTACCCTGAAATACCATATATTTCACATTCTGGAGATATGATGAACAAGATAACTGGTTTGTTCTAATATTACAGAATACTTCATTGTATATTTCATTTTTATGTATATTTTATAAATTTAAATCTTCTTTATTCCTTACAGCTACAGGACATCATAAAATTAAAGTGAAACTCGATCAACTTCCTCCTAGTGTTACGCAGCTTTATCTAACCTTAAGCTCATTTACATCACCGACAATTAAACATTACCGGAATCCAAGAGTTAAATTATATGATGAAGCGAGACCAAGCAAACAGCTATGTAAATACGATATACATGATGCTGATGAGTCACAAGCTGTTATAATGTGTCTTATTAATCGATCAACATATGGTGAGCTTTTTAATATTTTAACATTAGGATATTTTATTTTAAGATTTTATTTTATTTTTATAAAATTTTTCTTTTTGCTTATAGGCAGGTGGAAAGTAATTGAAGTAGGTAGATTATCACAAGGAAACGTTGAGAACTATGGCCCAATAATGGAAAACATCAAAGATCTTATTGGCATTGAAGTTAAAAGTGGTGTTGATTAGAAAAGAGCGAGCTCACTTTTGGTCATGAAAATAATGTACACTAAAGCCCATTTTCATTTTATTACATCATGATCTCTGTTAGTAACAAATAATATTATATATACTTTAGTTAATTAAGTCATTTAATAACAAATTCAGTATATTTTATTCAATAAATCAATAAATTATCAATAAAAAAATTTATAAAATCAGAAATATTTAAATGTATAAGTTAAAACATACCTATTTTCGGAGATTCTATTTCCATAGATTATATACTTCGTCTTTACAGTGCCAGCTAATTAATTTGCATACATAATATGGTTAAAAGAAGTTTAATTTATATATGTTTATCTTATATATTGATTAATTATCAAAGATTTAATAAATATCCTCATTCATAAATATTATCTATTTAATTAAATATTTCGTTTGAAGTAAGGTCAATATCAAAATTAATTTAAATACAATAGAGCTATTACCCACGTCAGAAATAAGGACTCAAGTCACAAGTTAACCAATTAAATTAATTCTCGCATAATGTACAATAGCTAGTCACTCATGAGCTGAATTATAACTATTATATAGCAATAGAGTTAGTGAAATCATCTGAGGATTAAGTGCGTGGTGTGAAGAGTCTCAACTAGAATCGCAAGTGTCATCATTTTTGGATTCATTTTTATTTTTTATTTTTTGCTTTCTGGTAAGATTTTATAACTCTCGAGAAAATTTAATACAATGTATTAATATAAAAACTTGATTTTAGTAGTTCTCATCATTTAAAAAATTGAGCATTGTTAGAAATTGTGAGACTTATAGATACAAAAATAGATGACAGTATTAATTCGTGGATCACGAAATAGCTGTAAAAAAAAACTTATAAAAGAGGTAAATAGTTGACAAAGTTTTATGAATTTAGTCATTACTATTCAGTTATTAATTTTAATTTAAAGGTAATTGCATATTCAAACATTGGACTAAGAGTTTCACATTTTTGCAATGCCATAGAATATAAAGATGAAGGCATAGATGAATATATTTAGTTATGAAACATGTAGAAATTGATGATTCTTTACAAAGTTGCGCAAATAAAACGGGAGAAAAAAATTAGAATTGCTAGTAGTCATTCTTCAAATAATTCATTCGAACAAATATGATTTCCATATTTCAAAGTGATCTGTATAACGTTGATATCGGTGATTTAGGATTTGCACATCGATCAAATAAAGGTAGTTGATAAAGATGCAACTTACGACATTGAGCGTGACCAGTGATACAAGTGGTAGAATTAACCTAATCTAATTGTTTAAAGACCTGTTTGACCACCTTTTGACTCATAACTTGTATAACCTGCCGAGTCAAGTCAACCCGTACGAGGTCAACCGACTCGGTAAGAGCTCTAAAATACGGTCTTACTACTATTAACAGCTACTTTCATAATTTCTGGAGCACCTACTCGTTACCAAAAACCTTTTGGTCATTCAACTCTCAGGAAACTACATCGCTGTCTTCGACCTTCAGTTCAGAGGCAGAAAATTAATTTCCAGAACGCTAGATAATTTACCGGATGACCAAAAAGATTTAGGATAACGAGTAGGTGTTCCAGAAATTATGAAAATAGTTGTAAAATTAGCCGATCGTTATTCATTTCTGCATACGTAATCAGTGTAACGTTCATTACTTACCAAAGCAAGGTACAGTACGTGCGTACATACATACGTAGGTTTTAAATTGACAAGTAAATTATATGAAACTCACGTGGAACATAAAAAATACTACAAGCGACCCCTGTTTCCAAAGTTCCATTTCCATCCATTAAAATATTAAGCTATTGATATTATTCAGCAAGTCCATATTTTTGAAATTGTTTGAAAACTCGACTTATTGAAGATCTGCTAACACCTAAGTGTCGCATAGTTATTGGTGAACCCTTGTACTTAGTAAGAGGAATGTTGATTGATAGCGAACCTTGCAATAAAGCAAATAACAAGGATCGGATCGGTGACGTGAATATGCAACGAATATATCACGTGACAACGTGATCGACCAGAATTATGAACGCGTGGAAATGTAGGGCGGAATTATGAGGATTGGGTACGTAGAGTACCGTGATCGTCGATTACGAGTCAATGACGATTAAATTGGAGTATATTGAATGTATAGGGTAGTGAATCATAGTATATTAATAAACAATCTAGTACAAAGTAGTATAATGGGAATATCAATAAATAAAGAAAATAAATAAAGAACGGAAGTTAATCTTGGGACTGGTTAACGAAAAATAAAAGGAACAAAGTGTGTTATACCTGCCTGAAAAGTGTCTGTGTGGTGGTGCGTGGGAGCCAAGCGAGACCTTAAAGAACAATATACCATCCGAGTAAGATAACAGTGATCAAGGTTACTGTCTAACACTGTGTCACTAAGTGTTTAGCAATTGTTCGAACTTATAACCTTCTATAATCCGGCAAACTCTTATGATCATGAATTGCCATCTGTCTTGTTATTTTTTTACGTCTTATGATGTAATCATGTTTATTCAATTTAAAACTCAGCCATTAACTCTCTACCAATCATGATCGAATAAGTCATTATCGGTCACAGCTGCATCGTAAATAGAGGTCGTTTAAAGCTTATATGTTCCATGTGGGTTTAAATTTACAAATCGATTAGTGATCAATTAAAACCTACATACGATTGTAGATAGGGATGGGACACTGCGCAGGCGGAATTTTTCGGAAGCCCGGAATTTTTCGTAATAACGCAGAATTTAACAATTTTGGCCCGCATTAGCTGTAATGCAGGCCCGTGCAGGCTGCGCAGCCTGCGCAGTAGATTCGAAAAATCCTCGATTTTCCCATCCCTAATTGTAGATACGTGTGCACGTACCATACCGAAATCAATAACTTATCGAACCGGCTGAACAATTATTCGGTAATTTTTCATAAGGTGTCCCAGGAAAATGATAATAGCTGTAACTATAGCGATAGTGTCCGATTTCCATTCACGTGATTTTCCGAAGTATAACAAGCTCATTTATGTCAGAGTTCGGACATATATTAGGAATAGAAAGAAATATTTTATAGTAAAATTGCGCGAGAATTTTTTATTGGAACTTCAAAGGCGGTTTACTAGTAAAAGTTTTGAGGTAAACGAGATTTTTGTGAACATTGTTTTGAATTTTTTACATTACACCAGATTGCATCGCCACCCCACATTCAGTGAAAAATATCTAAATTTCATATTTTTTAAAAATATAATTTTACGTTAAGAAATTCTTAATGTTCTCAAAAGGTTATTATTATAATATTGTAAATTACGAATTTTATGTTCTTGAATGTCCTCAAATAACATAATTTTTGATAAATCTTGCAACCTGGAACATTTTATGGTTTAAGGGATAGAGGAATTGTTTAGTGACCTTTCATCCAGCACACCCAGCATCACACATAAGAAAAATACCACTGAGAGATCATCTAATTTTTAAATTGATTACTAAGCAGTTCGTATATTACGAAATGTGTAATACATATACGTAAATACTATATAAAATATGACGTCATAGTTATTTTTTATGTGCGATACTAGGGCTGTTCTTTTCACCCACTGGGTATAACGAAAGTAAGAAATGCAAATTTGATTTTATCTTTATTATTATTAATATTATTGGTTAAAAAGATTTTATTTATTTTCCGGACTGTCACATTATCGGTATGTATTTATTTACTTACAATGTTGCATTGCTTAAATAACAATATTTATTAGTTAACATGATGTAATGTTTTTTTTGCAAATTACCTTAAAAATTACCTAATTTTTGTTACGAAATATATGCATATATTAGCCTCTAAATGCACTTTACATTAAAAACCATTAATCTTCTATCGGACATTTTCTTCCGAATTTCTTATTGGTGAATATCTGTTGTGTTAGTATTAATTTTGAAAATCAATAAAATTTACAGTTACTAATTCTTATAAATAAGCCAGTTATGTACGTATGAATAACCTTAATTTTATATAAGGTCAAATTATTCTTGCATAATTAATAATGAGATGTAAAAACTGCAAAATTGATAAACTTTCAGAGGAATTTCCATTTGGTACAATTAGTTCCACGTGTGAGCATATATCATCTTGGTGTTTAAAGGTATTATATCTTTAGTAATGTATATATGTGGTTTATATTACTTATACCTGTCTTTTTGTTAGTGTCTTGTAAACTATCTAAAAGAAACACAACACCAGTGTCCCATATGCAAAGCTGAATTATCAGAACAAGAAATTAATGAATATTACTTGCTTTGGGACAATGCAAACTTTAAAATTGATTTTGAAGAATGCTCACAAACGCATATCGAACTTTATGAACAAAATAATATAAAATCTGGAATATTTTACGTTGTCCGATTAAACGGAGAAAAGATTGAATTAAATATCTCCGAAATTAATACAGTTAAAGAATTAAAATACAGATTAATGAACTATACCAAGATAGAAATTGATAGACAAATGTTAATTTATAAAAACGTTGAGCTTAATGTAAACAATTTATTTATTCTTAAAGGCTTTTCTAGTTTTGATCCTAAATATTTTACTTATTATTTTTCTATATAGCACGAAGCTGATAACACACTTACAAGTTACGGAATTCGCTCAAATAGCCATATTCAGCTTATTGTCGTACTTTATTCTATGTCAAAAAAGGATACTTTAAAAAATTTAGTATTCGATTTACATTGGGGTTTTCCTCTCTCAGCAATAGACTATCTCGATGGCTCCTGTTTGATATATGAAGGTGATAAATTATGGAAAATATATGATTATGAAAATAAGGTTTATGCTGATATATCATATATCTCGCATTCCGGAGATATCTTAGACAGGAAAAATGGTTTGTTCAAATATTACTATATACTTCAATGTATATTACATTTTTATGTATATTTGTATAATTACAAATCATCTTCACAGCTACAGGACATCATAAAATTAAAGTGAACCTTAATCAACTTCCTCCTAGTGTTACGCAGCTTTACTTGATATTAAGTTCATTTAATTCTCCAACAATTAAATATTTCCGAAATCCAAGTTTTAAATTATATGATGAAGCGAGAACGAATAAGCAGCTATGTAAATATAATATACATAAAGCTGACAAGTCACAAGCTGTAATAATGTGTCTTATTAATCGATCAAAAAACGGTAAACTTTTAATGTTAGAAATTTTTATTTTAATGTTTGATTTTTTTATAGAATTTTTCTTTTTTTGATTATAGGTAAGTGGAAAGTAATTGAAGTTGGTAGATTATCACAAGGAAGCGCCCGGAACTATAGTCCAATAATGGAAAATATCAAAGATCTTATTGCCATTGAAGTTAAAAAATGAGTTTGATTAAAGAAGTTCGAGTTCACTTCTGGTTATCCATTTTCATCTATTACACCAGAACCTTCTGTTAATAGATAATGTCATATGTACAGTATTGTAGTCAGCTAAATCATTGAGGGGTACTTTTATTCAGTAAATCATTAATAAAAAATCATAAAAACGCAATAACTAAACATGGTCAATAATTATAGTTCAAGATAGCTAGAGATTTGGTAGAATCCGCATACAACCATTTCAACACTATCTATAAATCAGATCATCTCTAATCTACATCAGGCCAACTTTGGCTGTCATCGTATACGTAGTTGTCAATGATGCTTGAAGAAGTTTGTATGTATATGCATTTTAGGTAGCGCTTAATTTGAAGTTGTTACTTTAGATATATAAATGCCACCTGACTAAAATTAAGCCTTTGAAATTACGTGATTCTATGTGTGTGTGTCAGCGATGTTACCCAAACCCGAATAGGACAATTTGGTTAATTTGGGATTGGGATTCAATGAAGACAATGAAGCTTTGAACGAAGCCAATAGATACTAGTTCTTTGAGCTCAATTCACGTAACCATCGAGCTCCATTTGCCGATACTGGGACTAGCGTAATCCCAAACCTAAAAAACTTGTCCCTTTTTTTTAAACGTTCAAAATATAGTTAACCATTCAGGAATAGGTTCATAATTATGACGATGCCAAGAAAATACCATATGAACGATGTCTGATTTTTCTTTGTCGTAACTCATATATTATTTAATAAATTAAACATTTGTTTTAACATTAAACCTGGGGCATAAATAATTTCTTAGTATATCTAATAAATACATTTAATGAATTGGGAAACAGTTATCCCAGTGTTCGATGACACATCATAAATGCATTTCTGAAATCTGTGACAAGTTAGTCAATTACATGCATGACTTTATCGTAACAGCATAAAATTGATCCCAATTATATCTATGACAAATTATGCTATTACAGCATTAGTTAAAATCATTATTAATCAAAAAAAGAATTTTCCAAGTCAATAATAAAATTTCAACACTATAGTCAACTAAATATCCTTGAAAAGGACCTGTGGGTCGATAGTGCAGTGGTTAGCGCTCATGGCTCTCAATCGCAAGGTCGCGAGTTCGAGTTCGAAGGGTGACAACTACTCTGCCAGAACCATGATTGGAAAAAATTCTGCAGAGGATTTTCATTTAAAAGCAAGAACAAGATTCATACAAAAGAATGTAGTTATCAGCATAGTCACAGGGTTGGAGACAATCAGATAAAGTGTAATCTGTCAGCAAATGACATTAACATTGAAAGAGCCTGATTTAAGAATACATAACAGTAGAATTAAGAACTTTGAAATATATGAATGATTCAGCTAGTGGGTCATGTGAAGTTAGAGAACTTCGAATTACCCCAAGAGCATCCTGAAAAAGTTACATAAATCATGTGATTAAATCTTGATGATTAAGTCATTATATTAATAATATTAATAATTGTAATTTTATTCTTATGAAAGTATTTTTATCTTCTCTTATAATATGGATATCATTAATAAAAGCTTATTTTTTTTTTTTTTATTTATATAATGTTCAAGTAGAAACTTTTTACATATAGAATCATAAGTTCTAAAATTAAAGATTTCTAAACTACATTTGTGCTACAAATTGGCACCCAATGTGACATTACACCCCCTATTTCCTGTGAATGCTATAGCTAATTATTTCAAATTAGGTTCTAGCTAGGATAGGTTAGAGGAGACCTTTAAGTAATTGTCTGAACATTATTAAATGCAAAAAGTTCATGAAAAACCTTGTGTAAGTCATTTGATAATAAAGGAGTTAAAATTTATAGTTTGAGGAGAGATTGTAATATTGTTTAAAGGATTTGGTGATGTTGGTAAGTAAATTTTAGTGCGTTTAGATTTTGATGTAATATTTCAGGATATTTCCTATTAATGTTGGTATGTGTTACAAATAAACCAGAGATCTTGATAAAACCAGTTTAATAGATCATTTGAAAGCTGAAGTAGAAGGGCATCAGTTTGTTTGTTTATAAGTATTTTGATATTTTTATAAATAGTGGACGAGAAGGTCACTGTAATAATATCTAGGATATGTTTGAATTGAGGATTTGGTATATTAAGTATAAAATTTAGAAAAATATTTAATAAGGTTGTTAAGGTTATATTGGTAATTTTTAGTAATATTAGAATATCTTGTATTGTATTTTTGATCGATTGTAGAATGTTTGTAGTATTGCTAGATCATAAAAATAAATAAAGAGTATCTTCTGTATTTGTATAGCGAGAGCAGTTTGGAGTAGTATAGAAATATGGGTAACAGATATTAAGATTTTGCATGATAGGTAGATTATTAGTGAGAATTTTGATACGAAAGAAGTATTTTTGTAGGTTATTTTCAAGAGAAGAGATGATTTTAAATTTTAATGACCATTTAATGTTTGTGATATTTTGAAAGAATTTTAAGTTTGACCATTTGACAATTTCTTGAATAGTTATAGAGTTTTTGATAAAGGTGCGAACTTTGATAGGAATTAGATAGTTTTTCTATATGAAATGATTTGGAGTATTAAATTTTGAGTTATTAATTTTGAAAAAATGTTTTTAGTTTCTTGTTTGGCAAGTGAATCTGCTTGGTTGTGAAAAGGTCTGTAGAGTGTGAGTTTACTTTATGAAGAGTAGTAGTAATGTTTTTAAGTTGTTTAAGCTAGTTAATATAGTGAATAATGTCTTAGTTGTTGGTTTGTATAGGTTTGAAGTTGGTAGCTGAGTTGAGGTTTTTGATTGTAGTTGTATTGTCAATATAGATATTTAGAAAAATGTTAGAAGGAACTGCAAATAAAAGGGTGAGAATTTTCTTAAGTTCAATGTGAGTTGAGTCAGAGTAGGATTGTAAAGCTGCATTAAATTTTATGGATGTATCATATTTACAAATCTATCCTATACCACATTTGGTTTCTGAAGTTTGTAAATTTTTGATTGATCCATTAGTATAGAAATGTAGTTTATCTGTATTAAGTTGGGAGATAAGGTGATTTAAATCAATTAGTTG